CAGTTTGAATGAGAGTTTTGAGACGGTCTGAAGGAGCGGTTTCCATCGTTCATTTATAATTAAGGCTGTAGATAAGTGCTTCTACGGTCTCTGCACTCAACACTCCTCCTTACAGGTTCCATTGAGAATGTGACATCGATTTACGGCAAAATAACGAAGTCGATTCTTTTGGCATTTTTCAACTTTTGGAGGAGTTTTTCTCCGGAACCTGAGAAGGTGGCAGCGAGGCGATCCTCTATTGTAGACTAAACTTTGTGTTCTTTGAGGGTTTCCAACATTTTAGGATATCATCTTGTAGAGCTCGATGAGCTGAGTTCAACAGTGTTTTTTTCTCCTCGATTAATTTATTTTGAAGCGATTTATTAAGAAAAGACGAAAAAGACGCGAACTCGCGGAATTATCGCAAATTTTTGAGTTCTTACGGCGAGTACTGTACTGCGTTCTATACGAATGCCAACAAAAGCGAAGCTCCCCCAGGTGTCTTCGATGTGCAGGACGAGCATGAAACAGAAGCGTAACGTTGGGATTGAGCAAGGTTCCCATTATGACCCTGATCAAGTAGTGTCTTGATTGCAGTAATTTCAAGTGGAGCGGGCAGTACTTCTCCAAAAAGCGAGGACTTGCTGGACTACGGCTAGCACCGGTTCTAGCTATCTTTTTCATGAACAGAATAGAAAGGCCAGTCATTGTACTGTCGGTACATCGATGACTGCTACACGATTACATCAACGGAGCAAGAGATGGATTTAGTTTGAAATCATCAAACGACAGTCACAGAACATTAAGAAAATTCCGCTTGGGAGCTAGCTTCTTAAGCGCTAACCTGCGCTAACCGCTTTGCGCTAACCGAAACCTACTTAGTAGGCCAATATTTTCACGAAAAACAATGAAAGTGCGAGTTAAAAAGTCCGTTGACAAAACTACAGCAACAAGTATCCTCACTGGGTGAGAATAGACTGCTACGAGTAAACTACACTGGAATAACACAACGAGGACTGCCAGCCATTAGGCCAGCTAAGAGCATAGACCATGTTGCATAACCAGTTCTAAGAAAACCCACCTCGCTGATCCCGACCGCTTCATGTCCACCACTACATAAGAAATGCATACCTCTGCGATGCCATTGTTTTTTCATTGATGGTGTGATAGTGTAGGTTTACCAATTATTCGGTGGACTTCCATAGAATCGGTGCATGCCTTCATTCTAACACAAGTTTATTGATGGGTGCACATGCAAGAATTCTTGCATGACTATTACATCAATTTGCTCCGGTGGTGCAACTCGAAGATTCATTTCTGAATCAGCTAGCGTAGAGGGGAGTAGATGTTCGAATGTCCAGGTGTTGGAGTGCTTCGGAGAAATTGCAACTACGATGCGCTACTATAATCCACGATAATTCACGGATGAATCACGAATTACAGTTCACGATAAAAATGGTTTCTTAGATTTTCACACAAAACCTGACCTGGTAGCCTCCAAGGGTAATAGAAAGAACGCTGTCGTGCCCGAAAATCCATGAGCCAGGGCATAAGAGCCCATTTCAGGATCGGCCGGATGCCACACCCATCGACTCAATCAGCTGATCGCCTAGTAATGAGGCGATGTTTTTCTCTTGTTCATTTTTCTCTGTTATTCTTTCTGCTGCTGCGATGCTTTAGCTAGTCTTCTATATCAAAAAGATGAAAAAGGTAGGATATTTTTAGTGTTGATAGTGTTTTGTTAACTTGTGCTTATGAGTGAATTAATTTTGAAGGGCATTTCTGCTCACTGTTGTATAGCTATTCGCACCCAGACCCACACGTACGCAATAATAATGTTCTAAAGCTTATCCAATCATCCCTCCTACTACATTCCTCAGTCCCAAACTCATCCCCTCCTTTTGAACGATTTGTTGAAGCCTTTTATCACTTTGGAAAAGCAATTCGCGCACTTTCTTTGCCTTCTTCGCACTATTTTCCACCTTCTCTTTTATTTCCCTCATAAACCGGATAGACCAAAATTACCGAGAAAGCACCTTTAATCCGACGTCAACCGTTGCTTTGCCATAGCTTTTGCTAAAGTGCGCTAATCAATTTGTTTAGATCAACGGAAACCTCTTCTCGTGATAGATCCAGTGGAATGATAGTTTTCTGATTTCTTCAGTTTTCCGTCCCTCTTTATAGGAAAATCCAAGATCGAGTCTCCTAGCACTTCGGGTGTTACCTACGAACATAACAGCATCATGAACCCTCTACTTCAATGAAAACTTCGATTTCAGTGTTCAAATGACATGTACGACACTATAATAGAGAGGAGCATGAAGAAAACATGATTGTCTCGATACCCTTCGTGGCGAAATTGGAACAAGTTAGCTGAAAGCAGTAATCCAAAATGCAGTATTTCCGGGAAATTCGCGAGCTCGCTCTGGCCTTGTTTCTTGTATGTCTCAGGATTTGCTTGAATAAGGCCGTTATTATATGCCTGCAGTTACATGTTTGGTAAAAAATGTTGAGCAATGCAGTTTAGGACTGTAGCATCAGAAGTGCTGTGTTTTTAAACTGGATTTCAAGTGCTTCATACGTAAGGGTTTGTGAAAATTCTGACGGGAAATTCGTAGCACAATGGTTGTGCTATTTTTCTTATTGAGATGCCTGAACCATCACGTTACCTCTATCGCAACATGTTTTGTCCTCGTCGTGTTGAGTGGAAGTTTATTCGAAAGCATGAGACGAGACAAATGTGAATGCGACCATACTCATGAGAGTTTATATAAGCAATGTGTTATATGATCATGATGTACTATCACTCTTACAGTAAACACAAATATACTGTAGTTCATTCTATGAGGAAGGTATAGTGCATTCGGCCTGCCTCGACACCTCCACCCTAAAATTGACGTCCGCGGTACGACTTGGCGTACGGGTTAATCTGGAGGAAATCAGGAGGACGTCGAATGCGGATAGATCGACGATATCCGGAGGTGGGCGACGTCGGCTGTGGTGAACTTGCTGTAACTGTTGTCGTTGGAGCAGCAGCGGTATCCACTGAAGTCTGTGATGTCACGGTAGGTGTATCCAGTGACGGTTCCAATGGCACATCCAAAGCGTTGTTCAGTCTAGGTACTGCTTGCGGCAAAACACGTGGGATTAGTTGATTTATGTGCGTTTCCATACGGCCCCTTGAATAGACACATCGTAGAGAGCGCGTTCGTGGCGGCGTATAATGCGCCCTGGAATCCATGTGCGTTGATTGGAACGGAAGTCTCGTGCATAGACTAGATCATTTGGCTCGAACCTTCTAGGTTTAGCTCCGTGTCGGCGGTTGAACTGAGCTTCCATTTGGTAGTTTCTCGAAGTTTCTGCAGGTTCACTAGGTTTCAACAGATCTAGTGCGTTACGTAGGCGTCTTCCGAGAAAGTTTTCTGCAGGACAGGGTCCGTTAGGGTTGCGGTGCATGGTGTGTTTCTGTAGGTGAACAGAAATGTATGGAGGGCATCAAGGGTTGGACCGTGATTCTTCATCTTCAGAAGCGATCGCTGAAGGTATCCACGAATCCCCATTGGATTGGGGATGGAACGGGGGTGATCGGACGTGTTCGATTCCTCTGTGACGGCAGAAATTCTGGAACTCTGCCGAAGTGAATTGAGTTCCATTATCAGGAACAATGACGTGAGGGAATCCAAACTGGGCGAAGAGGCGCTTGAGCTCTCTCAGGGTTGCGGTAGTGGTCGTGGATGTCATTGGAATGACTTCGGGCCATTTGGAGGAGGCGTCGACGATTACGAGGTAAGAGATTCCTTCATGTGGACCGGCAAAGTCTATGTGAATCCGAGTCCATGGTGAGTCTGAGCGGGGCCACGAGCAGAGCGTGGTTTTGACTGGTAACTTGGCGGCTTCTTGACAATCGGTACAGTTTTTTTTCAATTTTTCCAAGTCTTCGTTGATACTCGCCCAGAATACGTAGCTGCGGGCTAGGGATTTCACTCTGTTAATTCCTGGATGTCCTTCGTGAAGCATTTTCAGGGTCTGTGGCGAAGGGATCTGGGAATGATGATACGGCTTCCGAAGAGTAGACATCCTTGCTGTGTCGACAGATCGTTTCGCAAGTGAGCGTAGTTAGCAATTGCCGATGACGGTTTCTTTGGCCAATTGTTGTGGGCGATGTGATCGAGTACTTGTCGTGGAGTGTCGTCTTCAGCTGTAGCGCGGGCAACATCTTTGGCTGTGACCGATAAGCGGTTGACGTTTTCGTGGAAGGTGGCGTTTATGTCGCGAGCGATTTTCGCTTGTCTGACATCTTCTTCCGGTGGTGATTGAGTGGCGATGAGACGAGAAAGCGCGTCTGCTTGTCCGAAGTTGTTCGTGTTCCGGTATTTTATGTCGAAACTATAAGCAAGTAGTGTGAGTCTCCAGCGCTGTAGACGGTTTGCGGAGTAGGCAGGTACCCTTTCTCATAACCGATATGGCTAAGAGTAGTTTGTGGCCAGTGAGGAGGATGAAGTGGCGCGCGTAGATGTATCGCTAAAATTTTCGAACCGCATAAACGAGTGCAAGGCCTCCCTTTTCTATTTGTCCGTAGTTCTTTTCTGCGTCGGTGAGCGAACGGGTAGCATGGTAAACGGCTTTCTCTGTCCCATCGGGATAGCGGTGAGAAATGACAGCTCCAATTCCAAAGTGGTATGGTCTCACTCATGACTCATGAGTATGGTCGCATTCACTTTTGCCTCGTCTCATGCCTTCGAATAAAGCCCACTCAAAACGTCATCTTTTCCGTCGACCACTCACTATGGGCTGGGCCAATCGTTGTTGTGAGAAAAGCCAACGGCCGATGCATACCTACAGATAAAAGTCGATGACAATTCTAAGGAACTCCTCACCATCAACACACATCGAGGACTCTACCGCTATAATCGCTTGCCGTTTGGAGTCAAATCCGCTCCTGGTATTTTTCAACAGATAATCGACTCGATGATTTCCGGTCTCAACGGCATTGCTGCCTATCTTGACGATGTCATCGTCACCGGTCGCACACTATCCGAACATAACGCCAATCTCGAAGCCTTATTCTCGAGAATAGCCTCTCACGGTTTCCGCGTCCGTATNAGTCGATGACAATTCTAAGGAACTCCTCACCATCAACACACATCGAGGACTCTACCGCTATAATCGCTTGCCGTATGGAGTCAAATCCGCTCCCGGTATTTTTCAACAGATAATCGACTCTATGATTTCCGGTCTCAACGGCATTGCTGCCTATCTTGACGATGTCATCGTCACCGGTCGCACACTATCCG